CAAGTTTAAGTCCAGTTCAATACTCGATCCTAGCACAGACCGGCTTTCGCTGCCATCCAGCTTTCGCAGGGTCTCTAATGAATGAAGCAAACATGGTGGGCGATTGTGGGAAGCAAGGGTAAAATCCCGCTAATGCGGGCTGGAAAGAAGGCTCAGCACTTTAGGATGCTTGCGGACAGGCCGGCCACTCGGAACTGCCTATAACCTCAGCTCTAGGGGGTCCAATGCCGCCTGCTGGTCTCTGAGGGCTCCCACAGACACATACACATATATGTATGTAAATACAAATAGATCTTTAAAAGGAATCCTTTCAGTGTCACATCAGAACAGCTGTCTATCAAACTGTAATAGAGTACTCAGGTACTGTGGCTATATATCAGCTGCGGAGGAAGCCAGAGACCGTGACTACAAGACCAGCCTGTGCTACCGAGAGAGGTGAAGGCCAGCCTGGACAGCTTACACTCCTCCTCAAAGTTAAAAGCCTAGTGATGCTCAGTAAGTAAAGCTGCTTGCTGCCAGAGCTGACAACCTGCGTTTGCTCCCTGGGACCCACACGGTAAAAGGACAAACGGATTTCCCCATGTCCTCTGTCTGCCACACGCACAGAGACAAACACAACAGATAAAGGCACTTTCTAACTAAACATTCAAAAGCAGGCCTTGGAAACAGTCCAGTTCTAGAGCAATTCCCACAGGAACGAAAAGCAAGCCCTTCAGCAGCTGAGCGCCAGCCTGGCTAACGTAGCTCGGTTGGTGGGGTGCTTGCCAGGCACACGTGAGGCCCCGGTTCCATCCTCATCACCACAGTGGTGCACGCACATCCCAGCACTTGGGAGGCAGGGAGGAGGATAAAGATTAGTCTTGGCTACTGAACCAGTTCAAGGCCAGCTTGCCCAAACAAACAAGAATAAACCAGCATAGCATTGAAGGAAGCTTCTATTTTCTAAAGCAATGGGCAGATGTTGATGAATGGAAATTGTAGGTAAGACAGTGATTTACTTTCACCTACCAGGCTCCCTGTCAGCACTGACAGAAGACCCCCGAGCCTGCCGGCTCCTTTGTGAGACGTCTGACCAATGGTCCATGCTGTGTGAGTAATCGGTTTCAGCTTCAAGGAACTGTGCAATGTGATCGTTGGAAAACAGACCTTCATACACACGGCCATTCTTGAAAGTCATTCTGCCCTGTAGGGAGGCACATGAGGCTGAATGTTCAGGAGGGAGACTCTGGCGTTCTTCAGGAGAGGTTTCAAGGGTTTGGGACATTTTTTTGCTTTGAAGATAATGTACTTAGGCCATAAAGAATAGTTCTCCATTGGGTTTCACATCATGCTGCCTCCTCCTCCTCCTCTTCCTCTCCCTCCTCTCCCTCCTCTTCCTCGTCCTCGTCTTCCTCCTCCTCCTCCTCCTCCTCCAGCATTTTCCCAAGTTTAATCAGTTCTTGGATCACAGCATTCAACTTTTTGCTTATTAAACCTTACTAAGCTTTGTGAATGGCCAATGGAAGGCCCATCCCAGAAGGTGCGGCCCTGCTGTGTGTCAACCCCAGGAGGATAAAGCACTGATTCTGAGGTTGACAAGTGCCCCAGCTCAGCTCTGTGAATTGAGAGACATTTGTAGAGAGCTTTGGGAAATGAATTTCTTTTCTTCTTAGCGGGTGTGTAATGTGAAGCCTGTAATCACAGCGGCTATCTTGTAATCACAGGAACGGGCAATCCAAGGGTAGAGCTGCCATGTGGGTAGACGGGATAGAAATGCTGACATCACTGAGTTACTATTGCAAGCCAGCCCTAAGCCCACACTGCGATTATACATGAAGGTTCAGGTTACACTGTGCCTTGCAGCCAGCACCTTCGTTGATTTGCATACACATATAACAAAGACGGGTTAAATCATTTCCAAATAGCCAGGACGTTGTAAGTAGCTTTAAACTCGTGTCACTGCCTTAACTAAAGTAGTTATCTTTGTAAAATGAGTGATACAACTTACCAGATACACACCTTGCACCATATCCCAGCAGCTATACTCACCCTGCCCTGCTTCCTGTTGGAAATCCATTCTCCCTCATACATGGCTCCACTGGCATAGTAAAACTTCCCTTGTCCATGACGGAAGCCGTTTACAAACTCCCCTATGTACTCATTTCGCAAAGGATACTGAGAGTTGGGGATCCTCTTTAGGAACCACGTGTGCGTTCCAAAGCCATTCTGAAAAGAAAGCACCGCGTCAGCATACGCCCCCTTTTATGAACTCCACTTATGGCAAAGACACGGGTAATCTTAGGGGTGGAGCACATGAACTAGAAGCAGGTGTTGAGGACAGCTGTCTTTTGACCTCTGGCAAAGGATTTGAGCCCTTTAGGTTCTTCACGTACAAAATGGAAATAGCACCTATCTTGTAGGGCTGGATGAAGGTTGTATGAGACCATTCCAGATGACTGTCATAAAACATGGATTAACCAGTGTAGCTGGCACTACAAGACTTCAAGTTTTGTCTCACTTTCCACGGTTTCAGTTATAGTCCTTCACTTCGGGGAAGCCACGGTGGCAGAAGCTTGAGAAGGCTGCTCGCATTGTATCCACAGTCAGAGGCGGGGAGCAGAGGGCGCATGCTCAGTCCGCTCCCTCCACTAAATATAGTGCAGAATCCCTTGCCCAGTGGATGGCCGTTTCCACAATTGAGATGGGTGTTCCCACATCAATTAAAGTGATTAAAAGAATGCACCTCAGGAGTCCACCTCACAGGTGACTCTAGATTCTGTGAGTTGATGCTAACCCTAGCCGTCTCAGGTTTCTTAGGTTACCTGTGCTTACGTGTCAGAGCCCCACAGGAGGGCCACTGGCGCGTGTGGCATCAGGCGCCTACCTGGATTCCCTTCTCCCAGTGGCCCGTGTACTCCTCGTTGGTTGTGAGCCACCTCATTCTGCCTTCCCCATGACGCACGTTGTTCTCCCACTGGCCTTCGTATATGTTTCCTGATTTGTAGCTGGGACCAAAGAAATCAATGATGAACAACTGGTTATCTTATGCTGACAACATTTGATTTGCCCTTAATGTCCTTAAACTCACCCCTAAATGCCTCTCAGAAAATCCAACCCAGTGCTATTGAGACTCATAGGTAGCACATGGTTGGCAAAAGTATTCTTATTAGTGGGAGAACAAGCCCCTTTATTAAACGTCTTCATTATTCAATAAATGGGCAAGAGCGAGGTTTTACATCCTCTAGAAACAATTCCTATCATGTTATTACTTAGTATTTTGACACCAAATACTATGTACTGCTAGTTATGTGTGCGGTGTGTGCACATGTGCATGTGGAGGCCCGAGGTCCACACTGGGTGGATTTCCTCTGTTTTTTTTTAAAGACAGGGTCTTTCATTGGATCTGAAAACTCATCAGTCTAGCAGGGCATGCTGGCTTTAATACGCCTTAAGGACTCTCCTGTTTCTGTTTCCTGTTACTGAGGTTACAGGCACATGCTGCTACACCAAGCTTTTTACATGGGTGCTAGGGATTGAATTCGGCTCCCCATGCTTTCCGGGAAGGATCATACTGATGGATCCATTACCTAGCCCAATGGTTAAGGGCACTCGTTGCCCTTCCGCAGGACCAGAGTTTGTTTCCTGGCATCCATGTTGGGCAGTTAACAACCACCTGTAATTCCAGCTCAAGGGGACTTGATACCTTCTTCTGCCTTCACGGCCACTAACACATATGTGTATACACATACATATAAAAACATACCCTAGCACACACACACATACACACACACACACACATCCTTGCTGGGTATGAAGGGGCAGGTCTATAATCCCAGCACTTGAGAGGGAGAGAAAAGAGGTTCTTTAACTCAAGGTCAGCCTGGGCTAATAGCAAGACCTTCCACAAAAAAAGCAAAATGGGGTTGGGCCATAGCCCAGTGGTGGGTGTTCACTGTGTGCCAGGCCCGTGGATTCAGCCCCTAGCACTGCCAAAGCTAAAACAGTAACAACAAATGACTATTGGGTCAATTTAAAATCAAGCAAAAATACCGCTCTTCTTCAGAAAACATTCAGTACTGTAACCTACGATAAACAGACCCATCATAGGTTACAGAAGACTAAGGAAGGCAGTTTCTATATAAAACAAAGTGAAACAGACAATCAGACACTTAGGATGTTCTTCTGGATTTCCCATAGGGTGTTTTCATTGCTATGGAGACTATCAGGAGAACTGAAAACTCCACCACACCAGGACAGAAGATGTGTTCTTCAACATTTCTGCATCTTATCTCTCTAACCTGGGCGAGAATCAGGGGAACCTCTGAAAGCTTTTTCACCCACAACCCGAATGTTGAGGGAAGGGTCGCACCTACCATCTTATTCCCCAGCCCTTTTTGATGTTGTATACCCAGTCTCCCTCATACCAAGAGGTCCCCTCTTGATTGTAATAGATGGAGCCCTAAAACAAACAATAGTAAGAGAAATGAAGCCTTGTGCTGCAAATCCTCCTGGAAGCATAAAGATCAGGCATGCAAAATCTAAGAAGCACAAACTATGCAGAAGTCAATGTTGTAATTACTAAGACCCATAACCCATGATACGTTGGTTTTACAGATGAAGAAAAGTGGACTGGGGAAAGGTCTCAGTGGCTAAAGTGCTTCCTATGCAAGCATGAGGACTTGAGTTTGCATCGCAGAATCCACCTAAGAAAGCTGACACAGCACACAGAGTAAGCATCTGCTATCCCCGCACTCCTAACTAGGAAGTGGGAAATGAAGACAGGAGAACCTCTGGGAGCACAAGGGCCAGCTAGCATGCTATACACAGCAGAGATGTTCCAAACAAGGTAAAAGATGAGGGCATGCACTCAAGGTTGTCCTCTGACTTCCACATGCACACCATGAAAATGCACACAAACACACAAAGGGTAACATATGTACACCAGTATCACAAACAAGTTGTTCCTTGTGTGAGTCAGACTTTTTGTTTTTAAGGGAGAGATACCTTACAGAAACAACTCAATAGAGAGGTTATTTATTTTGGTTTGTGGTTTCAGAGTCTTCAGTCCATAACCCTCAGTTCTGTTAGTTCTGGGCCAGTGTTGAGGCAGAACTTCATGGCAGTGGGTCAGATGTCAGAGCTGCTTACCTGTGGCAAACAGGAAGTACAGAGAGGTGGGAAGGAACTAGGGACAAGTTACTTCCCAAATGACCAGCTCCCAGACCTACTTCCACCGGTGAGGCCTCACCTGCTATCAGGGCCATCCAATCTTTTGACACTGAGACCTGGAAATGTTCCATCAGTATGTTGGGCCTTATTCACGGTATTCTGAGGTGCAGAGGGCCCATGGATCACAGATTAACCATGCCTGTTTTCCAGAAACTCTCAAATAGGACCACCAAGCTTGGGGCCAACTTCCTCATGCATGAGTTGGGCATGGGGCTCATACTTACAATCCCCACACTTGGCAGTGAGGGAGAAAGATCACGTCAAGTTAGAGACCAACCTGGGCAACACAGTAAGTTCCCGGACAGCCTGAACTGCAAGGTAAGAGCTTGTCTCAAAACAGAAGTAACTCATCAGGGTGACGGTGTTTGACTCCTAGTCCTGTGACCTGAGACCCACGAGGTAGAGAGAACCAGCTTCTACAAACTGTCTTCTGACTTCCATATGCACACTATGGAGTGTGTGTGTGTGTGTTGTGTGTATGTGTGAGTGTTCAAATGTCCATCAACAGATGAATGGATAAATTATGGTATATACTTACAATGAAACATTAGTCGGCCTTAAAAGGGGTGGAGTACCAATACATGCCACACCTTAGATGAACCTCAAAAATATTATGCTTAGTAAAATGGCTAAGCACAAAAGTTTATATATTGTCTGATTCTATTTATAAAAAAATGTCTGTCATAGTTTGGATATAAAATGTTCCTGACAAGTTCATGCACTGAACACTTAATTCCCAATTGCTTCTGTTGTTTTGGAAGGTTCAAGAAACTTTAGAATGTTGGGACCTAGTGGGAGAGAGTAAGTCACTGAGGGATACGTTCTTGGGAGCTGCATCCTGTCCCCACTCTCTTCTTCCTGTCTCTCATGAAGTAGCAGCCTCTCCAGGGTTCCACCCCCATCCTATTCTGCCCCATGGGAGGCCCAGAAGTAGCACCAATGACCATGGGCTGAGCCCTCTGAAACTGTGAGCCAAAAGCGGTCTTTTCTTTACTAAGTTGTTCCTAGCAAGACATTGCTTTTGTTGCTAGCGGTGGTGGGTTTGTTTTGTTTTGTTTTGAGACAGTGTGTCGTTATGTCTCTTGGCTGGCCTGGAACTCTCTTTATAGACCAGGATGGCCTTGAATTGACAGAGATCCATTTGCCTCTGTTTCATAAATGCTGGGATTAAAGGTGTTTGCCACCATCCCTGGCAAGGAGTTTTTGCCACGGTGACAAAAAGTCGAGCTGACACAATGTCTAAGGTGTCGATCCACATACACAGTGAGCAGACTGATCATTACTAGGGCTATGGAATGGGATGAAGTAACTTCCTAATGAGTATTTATTTTGTGGTGCTGAAAATGTGATGATGGTTGTACAGTGTTGTGTACGGTTAATTTTAAATCATGCATACATTCACACGGATGGGATTGTTCATGGGTACACCTCACCTACCTTCCCGTGTCTCTTGCCGTGACACCAATGGCCAATGTAGGACACAGGCTGTGTGCCACACTTGAACATACCAAATCCATTCCTCATGCCATTGATCACTTCTCCTTCATACGTGCTGCCATCTGGCCATGTGTACACGCCATGGTTCATGGGGATATTCTTCACAAAGTCCCCCTAGGGCAAAATGGTCGGGAGGATGATAGAGGGCAATGAAGGGACTCCACACCTGAGGGCTGTTGGAGAGTGTCCTGACCACACTGACACTGCCCTGGCTTTTCTGTGGAAGTGGGGGATGTGCTTGTACGCCTGTCATGCTCACATTCCTGTGTTTCCCATCCCCTCACCTCGTGCCTCCACGACATGGAAGTCCATGCAGAATAAAACACTGGGAAGGGTTCGTTCACACCGAGCTCCAAGAGGCAAGCAGATGACCTGGTAATGAGGTGGCTGCCAATCCTGACCTTAACTTTAGACTATCAGGGTACACCTTGGAGAGGTCTACATGATCAGCCAGGTACTGATCACCCAAAGAAAGCCTTCTATCTCCCCATGGCTCATCAAACCATTCTGCAGATGTGTTAGTCAACAGCCCACCTCACAGGCACCTTCTGAAGAACTCACTGTGCATTGGCCAAGGGCACCTTCATTGTGAGCAGCTCATGGTGATATGAAGCATGGCCTGAAGATGGTAGAGTGGTTCTGTTGGTAATGATGGCAGTGGTACTGGGCAATGAGCCCAGAGCTCCCACATGCTAAGCAGGTGCTCTACCACGGTTCCTAGACTCCAAATACACTGGATAATCATAAGTCGGCAGAGGGCCCGGCCACTGACTGGCCACTGGCCAGACAGCTCAACAAGCCTGAGAGTGCTTCGAGAGACAGATCCCACCCGTGAACCCTCTTAGATGGGTTGATTGTGGAGGGCTCTGTGCTTACAAAGGAGGACACCTCTCCCAAACTCCAGACAATTTCCAGAGACAGTGAAGCAGAAGGATCTGCCTGGCAGAATCACCATTCAGGGACCAGAAACTTTCAATGTTGGCAGCAGGCTAGAAGGTGGGAGTTTCACAGAAAGGGAATTCTCTCAGAAAATTGGGTCACTGTTGAGGGTGGATCTCCAGCCCCCCCTAAGTGGAGGATCAACCCTCTCTCGCCATCCCTGTACCTATGCAGCCTGTGTCTGCTGCCCAGCTGCCATCTGAATACATGCGTTATATGCATTTGCCTTTAATGTCTCTCACCACTTGTGGACACCATGGATGGCATCAGTAACTCTGCAGTGGAGCTTTCTAGAACAGCACTTTAGATACTCTCAGGCTTTGTGAGTGGGAGCTGAAACTGGCACAGCCTCAGAGGACAAATCTGTTCTCATAATCAGTTTAAAAATACCCACTTCCCTTCAGCCCAGCAACCCAGATGGTTTCTGTGAAACCCTCATAAGAGAATACATGCAGCCAGTAAAAAGAGTTAGCTCTGCAGGGATGGGTATGACTTAATTAGTGAAAAAAAATATATATAAAGGAATACAAGAGACTTATAAACTGTGTTCATATAAAGCAGGAAGGATTTGACATACATCTGTGTGCGATACATGCAGAGAACACACAGATTACCACAGGACTCCACCCATGTGACACATACACACGAGACACCTCTAGAGCTACAAATAAAGCCAGCTCTAGGGATTCTCAGGCACCTGACACAGTCACCACGTGACTGCACTGAGCACACAGTTGGTCTCTATCCCTCTGTCATCACGTGACTGCACTGAGCACACAGTTGGTCTCTGCATCCCTCTGTCATCACGTGACTGCACTGAGCACACAGTCGGTCTCTGCATCCCTCTGTCATCACGTGACTACACTGAGCACACAGTCAGTCTCTGCATCCCTCTGTCATCACGTGACTGCACTGAGCACACAGTCGGTCTCTGCATCCCTCTGTCATCACGTGACTGCACTGAGCACACAGTTGGTCTCTATCCCTCTGTCATCACATGACTGCACTGAGCACACAGTTGGTCTCAGCATCCCTCTGTCATCACGTGACTGCACTGAGCACACAGTTGGTCTCTGCATCCCTCTGTCCCCTCTAGTCTTGGTTCTGTGCTAACACCGACCTTTGCATTGTTTTTTCGTTTTCAGAAACAGCATCTTATTACATAGACTCAGGGTGTTCTGAGACTCAAAATTCTCCTGCCTCAGCTTCCCAAGTACTGGGATTCTGTGATGTTAGTCCTGGCTATGCTAACTTACTTCATTATTTTTATTTGTTTGGTTTTTTTTTTTTTAGACCATGTCTCAGTATGCAGCCTTGGGTGTCCTAGAACTTGCTCTGTAGACCAGGCTGGCTTCGAATTCACAGAGATCTGCCTGCCTCTGCCTCCTGAGTGCTGGGTTTAAAGGTGTGTGCCACCACAGATAGCTTCCTTTTATAAGAATAGTCTATCTAGCCGGGCGGTGGTGGTGCAAACCTTTAATCCCAGCACTTGGGAGGCAGAGGCAGGAGGATTTCTAAGTTTGAGGCCAGCCTGGTCTACATAGTGAGTTCCAGGACAGCCAGGACTACTCGGAGAAACCCTCGCGGAAAAACAAAAACAAAACAACAACAACAAAAAAAGAATAGTCTATCTCGGAAAAACAAAAACAAAACAACAACAACAAAAAAAGAATAGTCTATCTAGAGGGCTAGGAAGATGGTTCAGCAGTTAGAGCGTGAGCGTCATTTCCAACATTCACATCAGCGGCTCCCCATTGTATGTGACTCTAGCTCCAGAGGATCTGATGCCCTCCTCCCGCCTTTGAGACTGCCTGAAGTCAACGAACATAACAACACCCACTTGCACACAGACACACACAGACACAGACACACACACACACACACACACACACACTCACGCATATGCATACACACACTTTAAAAAATAAGAATGAATTCTTTAAAAATAGTGCAGGAAGCCGACCATTAAATTCTACAATTGCTACGTGACAGCTCTTACTGATGACAGTGTTTTACCTCGTATTTCAATCCGTCAGCCCAAATATAAGTCCCTTGTCCATGCATCAGTCCTTCTGAAAACATACCCTAGGAGAGAAAGAACAGTGACCTCTCAGACAGAGCTGTGGATGGTGGGCATCTAGACTGTGGCTCCATTGCAGACTGGAACCCTGCCCACCCCTTTACCTGCAGGGATGTGCTGGCTAGCTGGCGGCCACTGCAGCAGCAGCAGCAGTGTGGAGCCCACTCTGAGCCTGCACCACACACACAGTGAGTGATCCATCCTGAGCCAAAAAGGATCCTAGGAGGAGTTTACAACTTCCCCAAAACTTAGATCTAATAACCATGGTCAGAGTCTTCTAAGTAAGCCGCTGGAAAAAAAAATCTCTGAACTACAGTCAAATAGAATTTAAATACTTTTGATTTTGCACTTCTATCTTTCCAGATTTGGGGCTGAGAAGAAAGCTCAGTGGTAGATGCCCGTGTAGCCTGTACAAGGACCTGAGTTCTATCCCCTACACTGCAAAACAAAACAAAATAAAACAACACAACCACAAACCACCCCTCCCAAAAAAATCAAAAAACTTTTATATACTTTTTTTTTTTTTACAAGTTACTTACACTAGGTAGATTTGATTAAAACTATGACCCAATTATTA